AGATAGCGTGAGGAATCGAGTTTATTTATTTTCAACTAAAGGGAGAACGGCGCCAATAGAATCATCTAACTTTTTTTATTGCCTGCAGGCCTATTCTATAACTCTTTACACAAATTTCATTGTCATAACGCTGCTGCGCAGCTGTTTCATCATAAAAAAGCGCAGTAGCGTTATAATGATAATGAAATTTGCGTTAAGAGTTACAGAATAGATCTGCTGGAGTAATAAATAGGTTTTCTGCTTAGCTGAAATAATTTTTGCTCATGTGATTAGTTAGCGATTCTCTTCTATATAGACTCTCTGTATTCAACAAGATCAGGTACCTGCTCAGTGCGATTGTAACTTGAATATTTTCAATTATCCGTATTTTACATAACGAGATATTATATAGTGAGAAAATTAAAATATATCATTTTTTTTCAGAAAATTCGATAAGATTTGGCAAGCTGAGGAACAAATATCTGATGAGACTAAAAAATTTGAATAAAGCATTGGATAATTAAAAATTTCAAATGTTCCTAATGTATTTATAATTTGCATATTCCTAATTACTATTTGTTATAGTAAAAGAGCAGCACCGAAACACACTGTATATGAGCATTGATACAGGTGCGTTTCTTTCTCTAAAAAATTTACTTTAGTAACAATCAATCTATTGTTTAAATTTAAAACGATTAGACAATACGTATGTCAAACTTTTCTTTTGAGCATATATGCTGTTGACTTTAAGAGATAATCATAGGACATGTCTTCATTTATATGAGATCTCCTCTTAGGGGCACCATTTTCTACATTGTCTGTCAAAAAAATATAATCGTGAAGAAAATATAAAGATAATATAATAAATAAAGAAGACAAAATTTTGATACATACATACATATGTATATATATATATATATATGATATATTAATTATATTAATTATCTTACCAAGATCGGCGTATTTGGATTTGCAAAACGCTCTGCGTCCTCCAAAAGATAGAGTATATTCGGGTAAAGACGGATTGTCATTACCATGTTCCACGGCTTCATAAGCATCATTGTTGTATACAAAAGTGACAAAACCGTAGTTTTCGCTAAAATAATATCCCAGATTATAGAGATTGTAGGAATTGTAGTATGAGAATAATATAATTACAAAAAAATAATAAAGTGAATATGAGTGAAGATACGTACCCATGTTCACGAAAATGTACACTGATATCTTCAACAGGTCCAAAAATCTCAAATCTTTTACGTAGATCAGATTTGGTAATTCCTTCGTCTATACGGCCTACATATACCACTCTTCGTTCTTCTATTTCTCTTTGTTTTTTTCTGTTGTGCCAATCATCGTAAGCCTCGGAATAAGAATCTAGCGGTGATCTACTAGAGACAAATTATAAAAATGATGAAAAGCTATATATCGAAGATCTTATTAAATATATCTATTAATCTTAACAATAATTGAAAAGTTTATTTTCCAAATATAAGTTCTTTATTTTTTTCTAATTTTTTGAAAATATGTAAATATGTAAATTTTATAAATATTTTGTATTAAATCATAATATAATTATATATATAATTATTTAATTATACATTATATATATTAATTAGTTATACCTTAAGACATCGTGAAAATAAGATGATAATTAATAAGATGATAAGGTGAAACGATTAAAATTGGTAATTAGAATTGGGTAGAATAGTAAATTATATAGTAAAAAATTTATTAAATGAATATTCGTTTCAATATCAATAGATTGCATCTTTATATCTCGAAAAACATGTTTTACCTATAACTTCTATTGACATGACGATTGGCTAAGGAACGTTTCTCATATTTATCATAACTTCTTTCGCGTCTGTCATATTTATCATAACTTCTTTCACGATCCCTACTATCCTTTCTTCGTTTATTAGACCATTTATTTCTTCGAAGATTCGAAGTCGAGGGAGATCTATTGACATAATTTTTATAAGAATTTTATTCAAATTAATCTTGTTTGCAAGCTAGTCTATTATCGATTTTATTTATTATACATATAATTCTGATTGGAATGAATTGGTTATATACCTTGATCGTTTAGAATAAAACTGTTCGGGAGATCTAGATCTGGATCTAGATCTAGATCGGATGTCGGATCGAGAGCTAGAACGTGAATACGAATGCTTTGATCTCATTGAAATAGATGCGGGAGACGACCAACTGCTTGTTGAGGTGACAGAGCTACGTCGCGTGCGATGACTTATTGTTCGTCGGCTGCTACGTCGATCTACTCGAGATCTACTCCTACTTCTACTTCTACTCCTACTGCTACTCTTGTTTTTGCTGCTACTTCTGCTTTTGCTTGTGCTTGTACAAACACTTCTGCTTCTGTTCCTATTTCTTGTCTTGCTTCTACTTCTCCTTCTGCTTCGATTTTGACTTTTGCTCCTACTTCTTCTGTCTCTACTCTTACTCCTACTACTGCTTCTACTCCTGCTATTGCTTTCGCTTGTTGTACACCTTCTGCTTTTTGAGCTAGATCGACTCAAACTGTGAGAGACTCTTTCGCAGGATTTCTGTTTTTTATTTGTTGTATTTTCCTCCCTATTGTGATATTGTACAAATGATTATAATGTAATTAGAATGCAAAAGTTTTCGTAGGATTTCACGATGACTTCTTTCAAGAAAAAGGATCAAATATTTTAAGAACTAAATATTAAAACTGATCAGGATCTTTTCGAAAGATTTTTTTTAAAACGTATGTGCAATTATTCATAATATCATCACATTGAACAAATTATAAAAAAATTTTTTTTTACTAAATTATTTGCATTATTGGAACAAATGGTTTTGATATATGAAATATTCGAATAAGAAGGTTTTCATCATGAAATCCGATAAATTTTAATAGTAATATTAATAATATTAATAATAATAATTTAATGCTTTACCTTTTTTTGTTTATTTCCATAATTTTCGCATCTCTCTCTTCCTCCTCAACATCTACTGATTTTAAATATTCAAAAATATTTTCGTCCGTTTCTGTTTGTACATTGCGAGTAGATGGTTTTGGCTTATTTTTTTCTTCTTGTATATCTGATTCTTTTTTCCAACATGGCATAATTTCTCTCTGACAGTAAAATGTATCCTTTATTTCTTGATCAGGTCTGAGTGGTAATTTCATAGTTGAAGCATGATAAATATCCACTAGTATAGTTCGAGATGATTCTTTCATTATCATGGGTTTGTCATTACGAGTTTTATCGTTCAGTATTCTTTTTCGATATTCTAATACACTAATTTTAACACGAGATGTCTTGTCTTCTTCATGTGGTGCCGTATTTTGAGTATTTTGTCCAATTATATTTTGTATTTCATTATTTGAATTATTCATAATAGTTACCATATTTTTGTTAGGATTATTTATTGAGAACTGTGATTGTGATGCATTTGGTGGATTCTTCAGTACGGAAATATATTGCGTTTTAGGACTCGTTTGTATACTATTCGTTTTAGGTAATATATGTTTTTGTGATTGCAGAATGATTTTTCTAGCTAAAGGTGAACGAATAGAAAGGAGAAGAGGTTTGATGGTTGGAGACGCATTTGAAATATTTATCTTTCTAACAGATGAATTTAAGTTGTGAGAGTGTTTGAGAGAAGTCTCTTTTTGACAATCTTTACGATCATTTTCAAGCCACTTATCTTTGATTTCATTTTGTAAGACTGCTGGTTTTCCATTTCCGTTATATATATTGACCAACTCCAGATGGCATTGTTCATTTGAATTATCAGTTTTGTGATGTCTTTCGTGTTGATTGGGACCATCCGGATTTTCATTTTGGCTCGATTTTAATACAGATATATGTTTTGTTTCTAGTATAATAGATATATTGTAATGTTATTAATTAGAATAATTTTCTATTTTTATTACTTAGGGAAGAGTGGTCCTTGGATATTTTAGGAAAATCTTAAATAAAATGTTAACAAAAATAGTGTTGAAAAAAAGAAACTGAGTGCAAAGATACTGAGTGCAAAAAGGGCAAGCAAACAGACCTAGGTTTGGGCATACCCGAACCTCCCTAATCAACTAGTGCTCAAGATTCCCAACCACTATAAATAAATGATCGTTCAAATTTTTTAGCTTAAAGAAGCACGTCCGAAAATTAGCTCATATTATACATAATACACCCACTTTTTATTGTGAATATAATTTTGTGTAAATGCAAAGTAATAATAATGGATATATAATAATAATAATGGAATTCACAATACTTCTCTATAAGACTTAAGAAATAAGCAGAGGTTTTGTACACTGATGATGACTCGGAAGAAAAATTCTGGATCCCTAAAATATCTTGAAAAACATTTTTGAAAAAAATGTTTCAAATAAAAGTTATAAAAAGGGTTTAAAAAGATCTACTAATCATATCCATTTGACCTATGCGACGCCACTCAAGGTGGGAGATTTAATGTTCAATCTTCCCGACTGTTCCCACTCTTCCCTATCCATTTTATTACTTATCGTACTTACTGTTGCTATTGTAGCTCTTGGCACGAAAGTTATCATTATTACAATAATCGTGATCCAACTGTACTAAAGTTCTACTGACTGTTCTACTTTTAATATCATCCGATACCTAAAAAATGTTATAATTAATAGTGGATTATTTTATATCATTTTGCAATAATAGTTGATATGAGAAATAAATGCACATACATATTCAAATCATGTCATAATACTTAAGGAAAGGACTCACTGTAGAATCTATCTTCAAAATCTTGTTACAGGAAACTCTGTCTTGCATTCGTGTACTCTTACGTTTATTACTTTGTATATTTAGCGTAGCAATTTTCGGACTAGTTTTTCTACATTCTGACAGCTAAAGTTCAATAAAATAATTAGATTATATACTAATCTACTTAAAAAAATATTAAAATATTAAAATAATAGATAACCTTTGTTTTATTGATTATTTTTTTAGATAAGATTGAAGGCTGTTGATTGGAAGCTTGAGAAACGGATTTCTCCGATATGTTAGCGTTGCACTCTTGAATCATTTGACATGTTTTGTTTGTTCTAGTGTCATATGTATGATCATTTTTAATGGTCGATTTATTGCATGGATTTGGATTCTCGCAAGCCTCAAATTTTTCTAACAAACTCTTTGCATCGTATGCTTCTAATACTAACAAAAAATAAATCTCAGTAAAATGCTACAATATTAATGTTTACTTAATAGTTTGATATGAATCTAAATTGATTTAATTTACTTGGTATTTCATCTCGTGGTATCGTTTCAACATCTACACAATCTTCTTGCTCCTCTGCTTTAATTTTTTTAATTGTTATTGTATTTTTAATTGGTATTATATCTTCTTTCATTTTCTTTTTCCCTTTTGTATTTTTTGTCTTGATGTTTGCTTTATTTTTATTTTTTACATAAGACAACATAGGCAGAGTATTACTTGTTGGAGGCTTAAATACTTCGTCCTTTTCTTGTTCATCCTCTATTTCCATTTTTACTGCATTACCAAATATTTCAGATCCTTTAAAAATATTAAAGAAAAATGTTTTATTTTCTTTATCAAAATTGATAAAAAAATTATTACAAACAATTATTACAAACCAATTTCTTGTTTTTCTTCTTTTAATTCACTAGGTTTCTTATTTATTTCAATCATATCATCATACATATATATGTTTTTGCTAGGTGTCGTTAAGTAATCCTCGTGAGATAATGACTGCAGATCGGAGAAAAGAATTTTATAATTATATTGTGTAATTCTTAAACAATGGAATTCATATACAGTATTTATTAATTATAAAGAAAAACTTCCAACCTGTAGCGAGGTTGCAAGCAGATCTTCTACAAGCATAGTTGTTTCGTTACTAAAAAAAATAATTAAATGTATTTACATGTTGTACATTTGTTACAATTATTATATATATAACATTTTTGAATAAAAATGGTATACTTACTTTTCTTGATTATTACAAATGGAATTGTACACTGCGTTTAAATCCTCTGCTGAAATATTGTCAATTATATCCATCAGCCGTGAATTCTGAAATTTTTTATGCAAATAAATATTTATTAATAAAGAAATAATCATATTTTTTTTCATTTAGCTGTATTTCAATTGGCATTTTTGTAAATACGTTTTTATGTTTAATCATAGTTTTAAGAAGTAAATGTTTTTGCATTTTTAATAAAATAATTATAATATTTAATAAAATTTTTTAAAATTAAATGATAAAATCATAATCTATTCATTTCTAAAGATATTTAAAAACTAGAGTACTCGGTAATTTCAAAGAAAAACGAATCTAAACATAAAAAATATGACTTTACCGGAAAATGTGTTGCAAAGATTTTGTTATTATTTGATATTATAATTTCACATCTTTTAATGAGTTATTTCCTTTTCTTTATATATGTGTATATATATATTTAATTGTTAATAATTTTTTAATTAAAAATGTGCAAACGAAAAATCAACTTGTTTCGAAATATGCAAACCATAATATATCGATTGAGACTAAATAAATCTAATTTGTTCGTGATTGGCAAACTAATGTGAAATTACTCCAAAATTGTTTTTTCAATAACTTTTTTACTAGAAATGTGCAGAAATTCGAAATCATGGTGTCCAATAAAATTTGGCTACTTAATTCAAGAATAATTTCAATAAAAATCCTATAGTTTTTCCAGAATTTATATCCATCGATTTTCATTATTTAATTAATTTTCATTATTTAATTAATTTTCATCAATTCGTGCAATATGATTATATGGTTTGTATTTAACATAATAATATAATGGTGTGAATCACAATAAAAATTAATTAAGTAATGAAAATTAATCGACATGGAAAAATAAGAGTTTTCCAGCATTTTTGTAGGATATGTTAAATTCCAGGATAATTCTAGGATTTAAGGACATGTAAGACTGGATATCCTGAAAAAAATTAAGATTTTTTTTTTTAAGAATTTAAAATTATGTCGCGACATAGTAAACAATTCCATGAATTAAAATATATTGAGACACAAAAATAATTCCGTATTTCTATTATGTCTGTTCTATTTCAGCATAGTTTTAATTCAGAGAATTACCTATGTTACATGATCTTAATTCAAATCTAATAAGAATCGAAATTCTCTTTAGACAGTTTTTAAAAGTTTTACATTAGATGAAATTTATTTTATGCTATTAAAACGATTTGCCTTAAACACACAATCGATTTAATATATTTTTTCAAATTATAATTAGTCTAGAAATTCTCGTTTTAAATTTCTCAAAAATAACGGAAAATTATTAAGGTTCAAAGAGACAAAAAAAACACAAAGATCTTATACCTGCATGTCAATTCTGAATTCTAATCATTTATGCTTGATTGCACTAACACTTATGCGAAGCTTAAGAATCTCCCCTTTCTTTTTTAAAGCTGAAAGAGAAAGAAACAGAAATGTATAAAATGAATGTGTTTTTTTGTCTCTTTGATCTTACGATGGCTTTTCCAGAATTTTGAATATAATCGGCATTGTATACCCAGTGACAAAAAAATGAGCATTTCTATTTTTGTAAAAGAAAGAATGCAAGCGCTTCTTTCTTAAACATATGGTCAGTTAATATAATTTGCAGCAAAACGCGCGCATTCCTAAAAACATAATCTATAGAAGAAATATTACACAGATAAGTTTATACCTTGCAATCTATTTATCTTTTATTCACATTTTTAAAATAAATTTTACATTATTGTCTATTTAAATGTATATATATTCTTTTTTATCAAGATTTACAAATTCACAATATTAAACTTAGAATACAAGACCGCTTATGCGAATAAATCAGTACGAGAAACGCTGTTCAAAAGGTGTTGGAATAAAATATCTATGTACATTTAAATAATTTTTATCTCAGATATTTGATTGCGCGCCAATTACTTTTACTTTGCAGCACAAACAAATTGAAATAATATTCTTTCCAAATTAAATTTTTAATTCAATGCTATTAGCATTTTAAATCTTACTTAAATACAATTTTAATATTTGTTAGAAGAAGTTTACAAATATTAATATTACATATATTTTTTTTACCTTTTAGATGTATATAATCTCATAAAAAAATATTTCAGAAAATTATTGTTGAAAGAATAAAAATAGCATAATGGAAATCATTTTTAAAAGTTTGAATACTGCTTAGTGCATGAATTAAAATTAATGAAATGTAGTTCTACAAAAGAATCTATACATGAATAAAAAAGAATGGGAACCTAAAAATTTTATCTATATTTACGAATTCCTTTTCGTTTTATACTTTTGTAGGCTTTACAATTTTTCATGATATTGTCAGATAAAATAGGAACTTTATTTAGGTATCAGTTCTTTTCCAAAGGTTTTTCCTTTTATGTTCTAGATTTTAACAACTTTCACCGAGAACCTTCACTTTCTTTACTATTGAAATCTTTAAAAATATGTTTTTAATTATATCTAGATACTATTTAGATAAGAAGAAACCTGAATGAATTTTATATGCTTCATTGAATTCATCCCGACAAATTATTTAGCACATAAGCTTAAAGAAAAATAACATTTTCTTCTATAAATTTAAAATATATTTTAAATAATTCTATAAATAATTTTAAATAAGCAATCAAAGAAATTACGGGCAATTAAAATAATTTTCATTTTATCAATAGAATATTGCATCTTTTTATCTTGATAAATGTTGATTTATAAAAAAATATTTTTAAAAATTATTCAAACTTTTAAACGAAGCGAGTGCAAAAAATTTAAAAATGATGAAAAAAATGATATTATTTATTTTATAATTTAATATTTTTATTATAATTATTTAAAAGAGATTTTTTTCTTATTTCAAATTAGACAATTTCAAAAGTTAAGAGTGTTAAAAAAAAGAAAAGTAATTGAATCTTCGTGTTGAATAAAGTAGGCAATGCAACGCAACTTTTGCAAATTTCGAACAAAAGTTTCTTAATTGTCATTATTATTAAGTTTATTTCCGATCTTATTTCGATGTTTAGGAAACTTTATATCAGAAGTTAAAAAGAACATATATCTAATGATAAGTATTAATAAAAATGCTAAAACAATCATCAATAAATGATACTTTACTTAGTCCATTTCTTTCAATGTAAAATGAACTTTAATTTCAATTACTTTTTATTTTTTTTTATTTTTTATTTTTTAATTCTAAGAAAAAGATAAACAGTAAATTAAATCAAGATTAAAGTTAATTTCCATTGGTAGAAATGAATATTGATCAATAAAAAATATTTTTTATCAAGCTTATATGATTAAATGAATCTTAAGATATAAATAAATAATTTATTGTTTCTCGACTTCCGTATACAAATCAGAAAATATTAATTATCATATGTATAATTAATTTATTCGACGTGCAATTATACAAAATTAAATGCAAAAACATCATGCTAAAATAAATGAATGTCTATTTAAATTTTAAATCAAAGTGTAATAAATGAATATGGAAACAGAATTTCTTATTTTCCAAAAAAATAATTTTAAAAATGATTAAAAAAATTATTTAAAAATAGTTTTAAAAAATGTAATAATTATTTTTAAAAATATAATAATTATTTTCAAGACTAATCTTATTACAAATAACATTATAACAGTTTTTTTGCAAGAGGTAACAATTATTTTAAAAAATATAGTAATTATGAAAAATGTAGGAGTTATTTTCAAACATATAGTAATTAAAAAAAATTAAAAATTATTTTCAGAAATATAGTAATTCTTTTCAAGAAAGAATTGTTACGAATAACGTTATAGCTTTTTTTTGCAAAATTCCGCCAGACGATATTTAGAATGAGAAACTAACTCCATTTCTTGATAATAAGATTAAAATTATCATGATAAACGAAATCATTTTTTTTCTTAACGTTATTAGTAGCATTCATAAGCACGTTGTTCAAGTATATATATATATAAGTATATAAGAAATTTACCTCGTCCTCGTCTATTAAGAACGGATAATCAGGAAATAATTCCTTGGGAAACGTATCGTATTCATTTCCTATCATACGATTTCCAGTTTCTATCTCCATCATATGATTCCACCATCGTTTTTCACCTTCCATCGTTCAAATCGTTGTTTGGCACTTGTCACTTCACGTTACCTGCGGTACAAATGATACACTGAAAAATACTGACTGAGCAGACGGCTGACGCGATGCAACTTCGATCGCACTGGCACGCTAAGCCACGCGGCTTTATTCTAGGTTATGTTACACCGAGGGGTAAGGGAGTGTGACGGGAACGCACGTGTGCGGCTTAAGGACTTGACATTCGATGGGAATGTGCTTTATGTGGCTTTATACGAACGATAGATGATCATGTGCACGTACACGGGGCTGTTCGAGGGTGACGCGGATTTCACAATGTGAATCGCATCCACGTTGCGGTCAGTTCGCCGCGCCGACGAACCACTGTGCCGTGGAACGGATCGAACCAGCTGTGGTGGCAGAGATTACCGATCGTCCGTGATACCGTTATTCTATCGCGAAAACAGAAAATAAATTCGCAATGACGACACACACTGTGACGAACTTGCACGACGCGACTGTCGAGAACTCAACGCGTCCGATAATATTCCGGATGGATGGAGGGAACGCGTGGCTGTTCCGAGGATACCTTCTTGAAGTCTACACATGGAAATTGGAAGGAGAGCGTCTCTCTCTTTACGTCTGCACGGCGGAGAGAAAGAGAGACACGTCGTATACGCACGCGTACACGCGCCCGTAGTGGGCGCGAACGTGTCTATGTATTCGCGAAATGAGTGAAAGGAGAGACCGGAGAGAAAGAGAGAGAGAAAGAGAGAAGAGGGGAGGGGAGACAGAAGAGCCGGCTAGCCATGCTTGCCCACGCCGCGTCAGCCACCACGCCTCCGAAGAACGGCGGGTGACGTTCCGCGAGAACGCTATTCTCTGTGATTACGTCGGATTACTTGGAACGTGATTTCGCGCCGGGTTTCGATGCTTCCCTACGTCATCCCAATTGATGAATTAACACCGCGCGGTAACGCGTGTCAGATAGTAAGTGCTACGAACCTCGCCGGAGTCGCGGTTATCCCAGTAATATTCAGTAGGAACTCGGTGCTCGAATAACACCGCGTTCGCGTAATATATCGCAACACAGCACAAGTCGACACTGTTCGCGGAGAAGAATCTGCTGCTTGATACGACGAGCAAATTTCGATCGGTAGTTTCAACGGGAATACGCGTACACGTGACTACCACGTTTGCGACGACTAGTCTCGAGTCGAAGTCTCTTTACTGCTACAAGCTTCGTTCACACCACGCGTACTCGGCATATGTATAGTACCACTGCACGATGCACACTACTGCGACCGACGTCCGTACACGCGCGCAACTCTCACGAATCTGGAGTCTGGAGTCTGTAGTGTATTTCGTATTCGATGATCACTCACACCCTCCTATGCTCATGCGCGCGCAGTTTTTTCTCCCCGAAGTTTTTCCCGCGAAGATAGGGTAGATTTTCGAACCTGAGTTTCAATAGTATTTACGTTTTGTCTGAATGACTGACCTCGACTTTTCTGATTGGTCACAAATGATGCCACTGATGCCCATTCCTAAATTTTTATTTTAAAAAGTCAAAAAAATGATTTTTGGCTGCCCATTTTAAATGTATGAATAAAATTTGCCAGTCATGCTACTGAATGGGTATATTCTGTAGGTGAATGGTATTGTTGAATTTCTAAAGAAAAGAATTTGAATGGGAAACATTTTAAGAAAGTCCGAAATTTTTTTACGATTAAGAAATGCATAACAATAATAAAAATAATAATTTTTAATAAAGTAATACTTTATAGACAGTAGTAATAAAATTTCTTAACTTTACATTTACTGACTTATTGAATATTAATATATATGTGAATGTAATGGGAAATTTAATTGATCACTGTTTATTGCAGATGCAAAAGCATACGATTATTTATAAGTAATGTCACAAATAATTAAAATATTAAAAAACATATTATTAA